GAGGAGGCCGAGGAGCCTCGCGAGGAGCCACCAGAGCGAAACGTGCCCGAATTACCGATGATGAATTTGAAAATCTGTTTGGAGGACAATTTGGTGAAAACGTGTTTGGAGGGCGATTCAGTAGACCGCCTCGAATCAAAACAAGGAACGAGGGCAGGAGAACTGTCTTGTACAATGACGACTCCGATAATGATAATTTTGTGCACACCGAGGATCCTTTGAACCTTGGTACTTCCAGGTCAGGCAGGGTGCGGAAAATGACAGAAAAAGCCAGGGTCAGCCATCTCATGGGATGGAATTATTGACAGATGAAAAACTTTGGAACAATTTTAAAAGAACTTCAATGGCCTTCTACTGCAGGGATTTTACCAGAAAATCTACCAAGCAAGTTGTGCGGGGACTCCACTCACGTTTCACAGTGGTGCTTTTCCATTATGTCAGTTTGCGTTTGTTTTAAAACTTCAGATCGCCACACTTCATTGGTCAAAACAAGCCTTATTCATTAGGCCTTAAATTACAAAAATTCTTCCCCACACACTACTAGTTCATCACATTAAAGAGGCTTCCAGCTTCTCAGTAAGAACATGACATTTTGAGTCACGATTATGACTTCTCTCCCTTGTTTTGTTTTTGTATTATAGAAATAGCACCTTCTTACAGAGTTTTTATGTGGTTTCTGCCATAAATCCTTATACACAGTAATAATTATAACTTTTGCACAATACACCAATCCTAAAGGCAGCTATAAAATGTTTACAGTTTCTATATTGTAAGAAGGATCTGGATTATTTTAATCTTCCCAGGCCAAACGTTCATGAATTGTGCTGAACTGAAGTATGTCTATACTACAGTTACGGGGGTCCTGATGTGCTTTCTATCGGTTCTTTATTCATGTAAAAAGTGACAAAGGGTTGGTGCCTTGTAAATATGTAGCAAACCTTTGATGTGGTGTGTCCTATGTGTGCATTAACTTTATTAAAAAGAGAATACTTGAGAAGTATGAATATCTAGACAAAAGGTGCCAAATGCAAAAGTTACTTGCATCTATTTTCTTTTTGTCCTCTCATATTTTTATAGTATTAATAGAGATTGTGCAGCTAAGGGGTAACTTCAACATTTGAAAGGTTCCTCCTCTTCAAAGCATAACGTGATTTTTAATAGTAGCTCAGCTACCTCTATTTACAACTACTGGAAACTTAAAAGAAAATAGATGCTGTTATTCAGTACGTGTTGAAGAAGAGGCAAGAAGGAGCGTAGAGGGATGGAATTGCTCGCGAAGTTGTAGAGTAACTGTATCTTCATTATGTTGACACAATGAAAACAAAGCTAAGTAATTCTCAGAGTTTTCAGAAGCATAACGTTTTCAGCAGATGGTGATTTGTTTGTGCGGATAGGCCGACTGTCTCCCACACATTTCTGCTGCCACTTGCCCGGTGCAAATCCGTGTTTGGTTTAATTTGCCCCTTGAAGGTGACGAGGGAGCTGGACGGAGCTCTGGTACCTCTGGTGGCTGGCAGTACGGATAAGCTCCTGCTCACATCCTCCAGACGGACCCTTGTGCCTCAAGCTTCCAGAAGAGAATTCGTGTTGCACTGTACTCCTCTTATCCTGAAAAATGCTAACTTGAAAACAGAAACCATTTTGGTAGTGATAGTACAGTACGTGGCGACATTTGTAGCCTTGCTCCTCGGTGAACAGACACAGGTGTTTGGCGTGGGCCGAGCTGGAGGTGAGCAGCCGCTTACGTCCTAGGGTCTGGCTGGAGAATATATGGGACTTCAAGTTTTCTCCCGTTGTCTAAACGAATCTGACAGTTCTAGCTTGGCTAAGAGTGAGTTAGATTACACAGAGAGAACAAACGAAAAAAGAGACTAGAAAGTTTTGGTGGAGTTTTTCAAGGGTTGGCTTTTTTGGTTGGTTTTTTTGGTTTTTTTTTTTAACTTTCATCCAATATCCTTAAGTTCTTCTGTGCACAGCTTGGTCAATAATTCTGGAAAACCTCAGGCAGCAAAGAGTGACCCATGTATATTCTCAGATGCAGAAGGAATTTAATTTTTGGCTTTCTATACTAAGCACTAGCTATTTTATCTCGCTTTCCAAAAATTCTAGTTAGATGCAAAATGACTTGAAAAAATGCAGAGGTTTAGTTTTGTGATGGAGGAGAGTATATCCTAAATTGCTCAGAGCATCCATATGAGTTTATGGTACAGTACAAAAATCACACTTTTCATTTTTTAAGGAATGTTTTGCATCAGCCGTAACGCATTTCTGGACTTGATTCAGTTGTGTTTTGATGGGGGGGAAAAAGTGCAGAGGCTCTCCTAGTTCTGTATTGGGCTTTAACATATAAACTCCTGTCCTATCATCTCTCTCATATATATGTATATATATACACACACATATATATTTATAAGAAATGTATTATTTCTTTGACTGATTGGTCCTTCTACATATGGTAACCAGGAATAGCATGTATGCATCAGTCCATAGTCAGAATCATACCCCTTTTAGATCAGTCCTGTTGAGCTAATGTAAACACTATGGTTTCTGTTCTAAAGCCTGAAAATCTTGAAATGCAAAAGAACTGCTTTTCATATATTTCTGACTGGCCGAAAATCCACTTACTTATTTATTTTGTGTAGGGGTTGGGGAGAGATAAAACACGTGGATTCCGGAGAAATCATTTTATAAGTTTGTGTATTTTAGCAGCAATTAGAATAATATTAAATATGATCTTAAATGTATCTTTTCTATGTAATGAAGTACTGTGAAGATAACAGTGAAGCATCACTTTGCTGTGGCGTAAGTATTAATCAAATGTGTTACATGATTAAGAGCTAGACAGCAGGGTGTGCTAGAACAACAGAACTATTGCTTATTGTAAAAAAAAAAAAAGCAGCTTTTTTTTGTGCACGAGAACCTTTTTATAAGCATGAAAGAACTTGTTTTTAGAGATGTCATTTTTTTCTTGGTTTTGTATCTGGATTCTTTCTCTGAGTTAGGCAATTGGTTTCTCATAGCCTTGTTCTGTGGAATAATTATAATTGCGTAGTAACTTGGACACTTTCTCTCAAAACCCAGTTCCTATTAGGAGCCACTTAACGGTTGCAGAAAACTTAGCATCAACCCAACGGGTGCAGCAGAAGCAGTAAAATGATTTAAACCTTGTACCGCCTCGGTCCCTGATCCAAAACCTGGGTGCGCCCCACGAAGTGGCCGAGCTCCCAGCAGGCTGCACTGCCCGGTGCGTGTTGCAGAGTCAGGAGCACAGTCTCTCTCCTTGCACTTTTAACAAAAAACTCCAAAACTCTGCCTACGAAAAGGGTTTTTGAAGGTCTGGCTATGTATCGGCTTCCTGAAGGCTAACAAGGCGTGCGGGCAGGCCAGGGGTTCCTCTGCTGCTGTAGGATTAATTCTCGGGCGCGTCGGTGCTTCAGAGTTTTCTCTAGATGTGCGGTGGTGCATGATCCCTCTCCCGAGTTGCCGGGGGACTTGAGGGCATTCGGAGACACCTTGGAAAAGAGGGCTCGCGCCCCGAGGGGCTTTACTCGCAGCGGAGCGTGAGCCCCATGCGCTCCGTCCTCTGTGGAGATGGGGCTGAAAGTCTCGCGTGCACCTTTGTTCTCGGATTTCTCCTGGCTACAAATCTGCTGTCCCTGTAGCGCTCCCATTTCTTCCCGAACCAGGGCATGAATGATGAAGTTTGTTCTGCAGTAGCGACGTGCTGTTGTCTCGGTTCAGCCCAAACTTTGCCTGCTTTTTATTTTCTCCATCACCTTTTGTTTTCCTCTTTGCCACGCTCCACCCCTCTTTCTTTAGCTTCCCTTTATTGCCCCTGTAGGTTATTTAGGATACTCTTTTGGAAACTTGTGGTATCTTGATGAATTTTATTTCGGCTAGACTGTAAGATTTAATTCTTTCTATCCCTCTTTTCCCCCCAAGACTTTCCATGTTTTTTATATCTGCCTTGCTTTGCTAGCAACGTTCCCAAATTGCTGGAGGTGGATTTAATGAAGATGGAAAGTTTGCGGGCTGGCTTCTCGGCCGCTCTGCGCCTCGGTGGCCACCCGCACCCCGCGTGGAAGTGCTGCCAGGTCAGACGGGGCAGCACGTGCCTTCCCTTGCTCTGATGGCGGTGGTCGCAGGGAGGCACGGCGGCGGGACGGCTCCCTCCGCGCTGCCTTACACACGGCGCCGTAAAACAACGCTTCTCCCACCTGGCGTCCCTTAACGCGTGCGCTCCGTGTCTACTGAGTTACTCCTTTTTTTTTTCTCTTTCCCCCTTGCTATGTGAATTGCAGTTAATGTAACCCTTGTAGAAGTCGTGTGCTTCCAGCCTCACGAGATATTTCTGTTTTAAATAACCCGTGGAACTTCTATGTCGGTGCTTGAACTTAGATGGGTCTGGGCGGTTTTATCACTCCTCCCTGTCTTTCTATCACTCCTTTCTCCGTAAACGAAGCAGAGGCCACCCCCTTATCCCGATCGCCCCCACCCTGCAGAGGAACAAGCTAGACAGAAATAATTTGTGGAGGATTTTTGGCTGCTTAAAATTTTACGTCCCGTTGCGTATTTTAATTTCCCCTGAACGTTTTCGTAAACGTACACCTCAGCTGCTTCTCCTGCACGAAAGCAGGACGACTGTGTAGTTCCTAAAGCACTGAAAAGAACTGACACCGCGTGCGTGGTAAAGAGAGTGTTCAAGTAATTTAAAAAATGCGGAAAGACCGACTGCGATGTATTGCTTTTGACGATGTTTGGAGGCTCTCTTGACCGCAAAAAGCAAGATGAACCTTGTCAAGCATTTGAAAAGGCTGCTCCTGGCCGTCTCTGGAATGTCTTTGACAACCGTTCGAAGTCACACAGTATTAACATGAGAAAACGAGTTTAAATCACTAATTTTTGATAAGAACTTGATGAATATTTCATCTTTAGTCCGAGCGGTGAATGACAGGGAAAACTGCGTAGCTGTAGGTTTAAGGATGTCTTGTCAGCCCTGACTTGGCGTGTCCTGCTATCGTTGGTCTGTGTCATGAAGTCAATGTTTTAAAAATGTATTTGTGTGTTTACATGTCTTGATTTTATTTTATTTTTTAAAACCATCATGCAGAGTTTTATAAAACGCTAATTATTTACGTGATAGACTGAAGGAGCAGTTAACAATCCGAGGATAAATCTATATTTAGTATTGTAGGGAGCTGTCATTGTGTTCTTACAAGTATGTATTATAGAAAATTACTGCGCATGTGCGATAGATAATTTTCAAATATTAGTATATCAGAGGTTTACACATTGGGAAAAAAAAAAACTCCTTTATGTACAGTAAGTAACAGCCTGCAAAATTTAGTCTAAAAGTTGTCTTTTTTAGTATTAGAAATGCAAAGACCTGTTGGAAGCTTGTACATTTTTAATATGTCACGTTCAGCCCACAGCAAGCGTACACAACTGTGCTATGAATCCCTGAAACAATTAGATTTCCAGTGGAATTGCTGTCACAGCCTTAACTCTAGTATTATAAAAATGGTGCTTAAATACATTTATGTGCATGGATGTGGGTACCTGATAAGAGTTTGTGAGAATTTAAAGTAAAACCGAGCAGCTTAGTGCTGCGCTTGCGAGTTAATACTCCTGGTAGATAACTGCAGCCGCAGTTGGGAATTGACGAGCGTGTAAATATTTGGAAAATATTGAAACCGGTGGACAATGAAGAACAGTTTCTCCGGTTTTGGTTTTTTAATTGGCAAGCACTGCGTATCTCCCCGATTTCTGGGTCTGGGAGAAGCAGAGAGGATGGCGAGAGGAGCTGCTCCGGGGGCCGGGGGAGCCGAGGTCCCGCCGGAATATTCGCAGGCGGGGCTGGTGTTCCCGCCTGCCTCGCGGCCGCACCGCTCTTTGGCAGATGAAATCAAAATCCTCCGTTTCTCTTCCTGAAAATGCCTCCTCGGAGAGTGGTGGCTGCTCGGATATACTCAGAAATCAAAGCCTGATGATTATTTTTCTCTAGAAATACTAATATAGGCTATTCATTCCTCCATGGATCATTAGAGCAGACTTCATTTAGAAATACCAGTTGATGTTGGAGCGATGAAATTCACGTGATTTAGGCTCTCCAGTTCGTGTTCTGGATGACTTAAAATACTCCAAAAATGCACAAAACTATTAGAATTATGTCTACTTTCTATATTGATTTTTTTTTTCCCCCCCAGGTGATATTTATGCCCATATCTTCACATCCGCTATCTCAGGTCCCTTTAAATGAATACTTCAGGGATTTTGATGCCACTTGTTGGCAGACCAAATGTAATATTTATATGCAATGAGCTGTTAGTTTTTGTATTGTACAAATGTAAATTTGTAAAGATTTTTTTCTAGAGTTTTTTTGAAGTCACTTATGTAATCTAGGATGTTTCATTTTCCAGCTGTGGGATTGTCTTAATAAAAAAAAAGATAAACTCTTACGTTGGTTTTGCATTACTTA